TCTCTGTTAACAGTTTTAAAGGAATTACCTCCATTCCTTCGCCACTTGTCATATTTTTTCGTTTCGCATAACGTAATGCTCTCTGTTAACAGTTTTAAAGGAATTACCTCCATTCCTTCACCACTTGTCATATTTTTTCGTTTCACATAGCGTAATGCTCTCTGTTTACAGTTTTAAAATAATTGCTTCCATTCCTTCACCACTTGTCATATTTTTTCGTTTCACATCGCGTAATGCGCTCTGTTTACAGTTTTTAAAGAATTACTTCCATTCCTTCACCCCTTGTCAATTATTTTTCTTCATATCGCGTAATGCACTCTGCAGAAATAATTAGTCTAATAAAGCACAAATGGCCTGACAAGTGAATAACTAACATATTCACGTGCTTTTCTGTAAAACGATGTCTGAATTTAGACTATTTAAATGTAATTTGTCAAAACACTGAAACCATTTCAAATAGTAATAATTATAAATAAATGCTATCAATATGTCATGTGTATGAGACTTATCTAAACAGTAAGTTGTTATAACGTCATACCACATATAAAAACTAGCGTGCTATTTGCGTCTATATGAAGGTTATGAGACTAATAACATTGGAGAAGAAAAACGAAAAAGAGTGATATTCAGCTAATATGACCCCTAGTCGGTGAACGGTAAGTTTTCGTAATTGGAATTCTAAAATTTGATCCTCGATTGCTCGCGGTAAACAGAACGTAGATAATAATCCATTATGGAGCTTTACGCAAAAACAGCAACTATAAGTGTAACTCTTCCCTTTTTAAGATGCTTAAAACTTTTCATGTGTTCCAAAAAAAAAAAACGAAAAATTAATGGCATCGGTGTGAGTAACGGTGGATGAGAAATGAAAACGATCAAAGTGAACGTTGTATACAACATTATATTATTGTCATATACAACATGATAATTAATATAATGATGGAAGAGGTCAAGCCTTAGATTACCGAGGATTGGAAAAAATGTACAGACATTTAATAAGGAAATGAAGATTGTAATGTTTTAGCTGACCCCTCCTGAGTAAACTGAAATTCTTCGACATATTACAAATCTTTATTATGTTTTCTTTTATTTCATTTTTTTACAAAATCATAAAACTTCCCGCGTTCGTAATTTGCACGTTTGTTTAATGTATTTCTCTTTACTCAGTCTTTATCTTCACTTAATTTTAAATTACCATATTTTCAATCTATATATATTTATTTATTTATTTAGGATAGATATTCTATTCATTATAAATGTTTAGCTTTTTAATTTTGTTCTTAATTTATATAAAGCTTTATACATTTATATCTTAAAATGAAATATAATCATTTCACTGCTGCAAGTCCTCGTAAGGTCCTTGCTCATTATACGTATACAATAATGTTCTATGTCTGTTATTAAGCACAAAGCTACACGATGTACTCTGCCCACACATAATTTTTAGTGTTATAAGCCCACAACTTTACTTACCACTGTAACACTAATGGGTACTGTTATCATTAGATTGACAGCTTTAGTGGAGCGCCTATTTGGTTTGTTTGTTTGTTTTGAATTTCGCCCAAACCTATTCGAGAGCTACCTGCCCTAGTCGTCACTAACTTAGCATTGATAGATTAGAGGGTGAAAAGCTAATCAACACCACCCACCACCAACTTTTGAGCTACCTATTTTTACCAAAAAAATTGTGGGATTGACTGTCACATTATACCGCCCCCGCGGCTCAAAAGGCGAGCATGTTCGGTGACGAGAATTCGAACCACGACTCGCAGCTTGCAAGTCAAGCGCCCTAACCATCAGGCCATGACAGTCAGCGTTGATGAACAAATAAATTGTTTAAAGTGATTTTTACTGCTATAGCTTAATAACTATAAAATTTACATTGCAAATTATTTTCATATAATTTGTCACAAAAATAAAAACAACTTTAATCCTCTACTACATCTTTTGATGCATCAGCATTTAACAGTATATAAACCATGTATACTATAACATGTTCACAAGTAGTCTACATATCAAGTATATGTCCACTCATAAATTCTGAAACGTAACATTCCGCATACTCATTTTAATTTGTCTATACTTATGAGTCTACATACTAGTCAACAAGCATAAGGCGTAGCAATAAAACATAAAAACTAGAAGATTGGTTTGCTGAGATTTTGTTCGATTTATACATCACGTTCAGTACACATATGTTACTCTTTTACTTGTAGACAAAGCTGACTGGTAGTTGTTTTTTATAGTATCGTTTCGCTTAAGAAATGCAGGAGTGACGACTAATTTCCCATATCATCCGGGTTATGGCAGTTACGCGCAGCCACGATAATCATTATTATTTCTATTTTGTATTTAATCTATTATTTTGTTATTTACGTAATTATAGAAATAATGTTTTATTAATAAAACATACGACCAGTTAGTTTCCTTTCTCCTTTAGCATAATCTACTGTCAAAACCGTGTAAAAAAAAACAACTAAACTATAGGACAGCATTTCTTGAAGATTGTTTGTTTGTTTTTAAGTTTCGCGCAAAGCTCCACGAAGGCTGTCTGAGCTAGCCGTCCCTAATTTAGCAGTGTAAGACTAGAGGGAAGGCAGCTAGTCATCACCACCCACCGCCAACTCTTGGGCTAC